ACGATTCTTAGTCATTAGTGGTTGAACTTAAGTTTTGCATTAGTTTGTATGATAATGAACTAATAATAAATATACATAAACCCCCACCTTCCTTGCCCCAACCTCTAACTTGGTGAACCACATTGTAATTAGGTATTTGGAAATTTGAATCGTTTTCAATATTTTTATCATGACACCATGTTTCGCTAAGGCAAATAATGTTAAAACTAATTTTGATTTTATATAAAAACTGTTTTAATGATTCAAAGTTTTTTTGAATACTCCTAATATTAATATGGAGAATTGAAAATGAGTTATCATCCATTCCTTCCGTTATATTTTTTGAGTTTGAGTTATAATATAATGGATTAACATGTTTAATTACTTCATTATTATTATAAAAATTAAAATCAGGATCCGAACTTTGATGTAAAAGTGTTGAACTATTAATTTCAAATGTTTTAAACTCAAAATCGGATCTGTCAGTTTCGTCAGCCATTTTAAATAAGAGTAGTTTTAATAAAAAAAATAAAATATGATTATTCAAATTGATTTCTTAAAATCCTTTACAATTAAATTATTGTAAATAACAGTGCAATACTTACCGTTGTTCCTGTGTATTTTTCTTTCTTCGAATAATTTTTTTCGTATTATATATATATATATATATATATATATATATATATATATATATATATATATATATATATATATATATATATATATATATATATATATATATATATATATATATATATATATATATGTATATATATATATATATATATATATATATATATATATATATATATATATATATATATATATATATATATATATATATATATATATATATATATATATATATATATATATATATATATATATATATATATATATATATATATATATATATATATATATATGTATATATATATATATATATATATATATATATATATATATATATATATATATATATATATATATATATATATATATATATATATATATATATATATATATATATATATATATATATATATATATATATATATATATATATAGGTCGATCGATACTTACAGTGCATTTTGATACTTAAATGTTGCATTTTTAGATATATTTTTTATTTTAAAATATTGGATATGGATAAAATATTGGTTCATATAAATATGAGTCATCTAGAAATCATTTAATTATTTCACTGTATATTGTTAATTCTTTTAATTGATAGTTCAGGCATTATAATTATGAAGAAAACACTGTGTTAAAACCTGTTGTTTTCTTTTAAAACCTTTTTAACTTCTCAAATTAAGTAGTTATCATTCTGCATGAAATCATAAATAGATAAAATAAATCCTTTTTTAGCTATTTATGGTCAGGGTCGGGACTTACAAATGCCCATAGTTTTTGTGTAAGAAAAACTAGAGGACTATTTTGAATTATAAAAACCAAATATTTTATCCGTATGAGACTTTCACATAAGAAAATAGGGCTGCGGAGTCGTAGTCGCGACATTTTTAGCGGTGCCGGAGTCGCTAAACAAAACTGACTTCAATAGTAAAACTTCTCGGTATTGCACGCGCATGTATGAAATGTTTAATCTTCGAAAAAAAATTTTATATATTTGGCAAAAAAAAAGTTTTTTTTATTATCGCGTAATATTTTTTTAAAGAATTCAAAGAATTTTTCAAAACTTTTTCTTTGGAATCGGAATCGTATTCTGAAAATTTCAACGATTGGAGTCGGAGTTGGTACTTTTTTTTTACGACTCCACACCCCTGCTTTAAAATGTCATTTAAGTAGAGCTGCTGGTTGGTTTTAACTCTTTTATCAATAAATTTTAGTGGAAGTATTCTACCAAATAATCTTCGTTTATAAATATTTCCGAACCTTTAAGTTTGTTTGCATTTTTCAGAATTTTTACTTTCTCTTTATAATCTAGTAACTTGATCACGATAGTTCTTAACTTTTCTGTATTACGCTTTCCTGTCCGATGTGCTCTTTCTATTTTTACTCCATTTACATTTAAATTATTCGAAAAAAATTTATAATATTGGCTAATATCCACACTCGTTCACAAAAAATACAGCGACTCTTTCTCGCCATTAACTTGAGTGTAATGGCTGCCGTGAGTTATGTGCAAACATGCATAAATGAGTAACGGCAGCTGCAGTAGCAGCAGCATTAAATTAGATACTAAAATATCTTATGATTATTGCTAAAATACATGTTTTCTTCAAGATGAATATATTAATATTATTTTTTATAAGCTCCACATTTTTGAGTTTTGAGATAAAACGATTTAAAAATAAAATATTTAGGAGACGTATAAAAAGATTTTTATTACTTATGTTATCTCCGCAATTTTTTTAATTGTAACTTTTTTGATTTGAAACTTAGGTTTCAATATAGTAGAAAAACATTATTTTGAGATACATAACAAAATCAATAACTCTAACCTCGCGATATGTTTGATTTAATTGTGAGAATAACTTTTGTTCCGGAGGTAACGACAACTAATTGATATACATGGTGGAAACTTACAAATGTCCCCTGACTTTAGAGAACGGTTATTAATAAGCCTCTTTTCCAATGAAACTGCTTTTTGCATATCTAATAACTGTATTTATCAGCTATCAGAATTACATACAATTTTTTTCAGAACATTCAAAATGGTAAAAAAAAGTAGATTTAAAAAGTGTGAAAAACGAGATTGTCTTTTTAAAAAAAACTTACTAAAAATGTTAATTATTTTAAACATCACAGACATTGCCGTAAGTTGTTATATTGTACCATAAAACGTTTTAAGAAAACTGGAGATAAAATTCCACAAAAAAAAACATGGAGAAAAAGAGTAGTTCGTATAAATTCATAAAGGTTTTTCGTGAAAGAATTTGACCTGCTCGATATGGAAGATCAACTGCAAAATAATTCGAAACCGATTCCAAAACTAATATTTGATTAAGGTGGTACATCACCAACAATTTTGATTTTTTTGTTTTAAAAAATTCATTCATTAAATGTTGATTTTTTTTTTTTTTTTTCATAGAACATGGTTTTGATTTTTTTTTAATAATATGAATAAATAAGTATTTAAAAATGCGTTTTTTAGACAAAAGCCCTAACCAACGCCATAAAAACGCATATTTAAACAAAAGCATTTTAACTTGTTCAACCTTATAATCAACACTACTTTATTCATATTAAAGCTTCTTTTTTATTATGTGCTTTATGTTTAGTGGATATTTTAATTGGCTCATGCTTCTTTTTGTAATCTAACGAACTTTTAGTGTTTTTCTCAGCACTTCATTTTTAACAAATAAATAAATTTTAAAACATGATATTTTCAGATTGGGGCCATATGCTAACTTGAAGTTTTCAGGGTAAATGTAGAGGGTTTTTGTTATTGTTATATTAAAATATTACCTTACTAGTTGCAACTTGAGTCATGTTTTTTATAAATTTTGTAAATTTTTGTAACTTAGGTATAGCTTATAAAAAAAAATATTTGCTGGTCTGACAAACAGAAATAAGCTTTTATAAACAACAGTTTATGGAGTTTGCAAGAGATCCCACGTAATTTAAGAGTTGTACCTTGATACCAAAATGCAGGGAAGGTTTTCTCCAAGCAAGAAGAACTTCCACTAAAATTTATTGATAAAAGAGTTAAAACCAACCAGCAGCTCTACTTAAATGACATTTTAAAGCAGGGATGTGGAGTCGTAAAAATAAAGTAAAAAGTTTGAGAAGTTAAAAAGGTTTTAAAAGAAAACAACAGGTTTTAACACAGTGTTTTCTTCATAATTATAATGCCTGAACTATCAATTAAAAGAATTAACAATATACAGTGAAATAATTAAATGATTTCTAGATGACTCATATTTATATGAACCAATATTTTATCCATATCCAATATTTTAAAATAAAAAATATATCTAAAAATGCAACATTTAAATATCAAAATGCACTGTAAGTATCGATCGACCTATATATATATATATATATATATATATATATATATATATATATATATATATATATATATATATATATATATATATATATATATATATATATATATTATATATATATATATATATATATATATACATGCATGTATATAAATGCATGTATATAAATGCAGTACATGTATACAAATGCAGTGCCCGCCCCCCTCAGTACTGTAGTTAGGGGACCCCCCCCCCCGTTGCTACGCCAGTGTATATATATAAATATAAATAAATATATATATATATATATATATTATATATGTATATGTATATATATATATATATATATATATATATATATATATATATATATATATATATATATATATATATATATATATATGTATATGTATATATATATATATATATATATATATATATATATATATATATATATATATATATATATATATATATATATATATATATATATATATAAATATCAGGGTGTTACCCAGCCTGATGGCGCCGCGTATAACGCGGTATTCCCAATTGGTTTAAAATTCCCAAAGGTTTATAAGATCATGATGAAAAAAAAGTTTTTCAATTGCGCTTTTCTCGAAATACGTAATTAAGAAGTTTTGATAAAACGGCTGCAGTATATCAAACACAAAGAAAAGAAGCGATTTAAATGAAAACTTTAGAAGATTGCTCATAATGAAACAAGTTGATTAATCAAAATTAAACATATATAAAGTAGAAAAATAATCCTGCTGTTAATGTAACTCCCTGCAAAAATAGAAAGTTTATTTTGATTAAAATTTAATTGCAGAATGTAAGGACTTTTTTTTTTTTTTTTTTAAAGCCGCACCTAAATTCCCAATTTCGCAAAAACGTTGTGTGAAATTTTTTTCTGGGTAACACCCTGTATATATATATATATATATATATATATATATATATATATATATATATATATATATATATATATATATATATATATATATATATATTTCCATCGTTACATACCGTACATTTTGATTTATATATAAAAATAGATACGAAAGTAATTTTAATATTATTTAAAAAGTTCTACGACGCTACTAATGGTATTGATATATATAACGTAACTTTTTTATTCGAAGTTTTTGAAATTATTTCTTCATAAAAAACGTGTTTTTAATTTTAATTTCTTGGAATAGCCATAACTTTAAATTCAGAAGGAGTGCGAGTTATGCCAGATTCACCTTTTAAGTTTGGTAACTCTTCTTCAGTTGGTTTTTCAAACCGATAATCTTTTACTAACCGTGATATAAATACAAACAATTCAATTTTAGCTAATGTTTCTCCCAAACAACTACGCGGTCCACTTGAAAATGGTAAGTACGCTTCACCAAGTTTCAAATTAAACTCACCAGATTTTTCCAGCCAACGTTCTGGATAAAAACTCATGGCATTATTCCAATGAGTCTCATCGTGATGTATGCTCCACAAGTTTGTTAATATAAAAGCACCCTTTGGAACAGGTTTACCACAGATGCTACTGCTTTCCATTGCTTTATGACCTACACCCAAAGGTGCTACTGACGACAGCCTAAGTGTTTCATGAATTGCAGCTTGCATCAAATGAAGCATAGGGCGATCGCTTAAACATGGATAACGATTTCCGGATGTTATCTTTAAAATTTCATTATAAAGTTTATCCTGATATTCTGGCCAATGCAACATATAAACAATAAACCAAAGAACAGTGTTTGACGACGTTTCTGATCCAGCAATTATAAAATCGTTTAAAAGAAACTCAATGTTATCATCTGTGATTTTCTCATGTGAATTGTTTTCCAATGCTGAATCCAAAGAGACTTTTATTAAGGAATCAGTCACATCGCGTAAATTGTTTTCATCATAAGAACTTCGGTGTTCTTGAAGTTTCCGTTTCAAAATCGGATCACGAAGTCTTATTATTTCATAAATATTTCTTGAAGCAGTTGAAGGAAAAAACCGTAACCATGGAATAGAAGATATAAGACTGGTTGCACTAGATGCTCTAACAGACAAATTTGAATATTTTATGATATCTTGAAATTCTTGATCATTTTCATCATATCGATGATTAAAAAGTATTGTGCAAATTATGTTGAGAGTGCTGAACTCTAAAAAAAAAAACATTTTTGTAATTGTCTAAAGTCGACTAAAAGACTGTTTAGTCGAAATAAAGAAATAATTTTTTTTTTCAAAGTAAATTAAAAGTAATTTTCATTTGCTTTTTATTTTTTTAACATCATATCATTTAAATATTATTGGAACAAAACATTATAATAGCAGGGCCACACGACGACGGGACAATTTATTCTAAAGCACCTAATGATTTCGGGTCCATCTTAAATACTTGCTAAATATCAAAAAGTCTAAGCAATCATAATTGCAATGGGATTGAATAAATGACATTTAGATTTTAGAGTTTCACAATTTAATTTTGCCCCATTCGTTCCAGGGCCCCGATTTAGCTTGGAACGGCCCTGTATGAAAATATTTTTAAAAAATCACAAGAATAAAAAAACAAAAAATTAATGAAATGCATAACCGAAAGTTTAATTAGATATATCTATTGCTAACACGAAATGAATTAGATAAAACTTTAAGAAGTAAACAAAAAGCTATGTACCATGTAAATGTTGTAATAGTACATGTTATTGTTATAAATTGAACAAACAAAAATTAAAGATGGAAAAAATTAAATCGAATAAATAGATATAAGGATTTATATCTAGTTATTCAATTATGAATCTAAAACTAAATACTAAATAAATTGTGTACAACAACTTAATCCATAGCGTTAATAAATTTTAATAATTTGTAAATAATTGCAATAAATTGAAAAATGATTAACACTATGAATACCATTCTCAATACCGTTGAGAATTATACATCCAGAAAAAAAGACAACAAAAGGAAGGACTTTCATAAAACATTTTTTTATAATGTAACAAATTTCAGAATTACTAAAACAAATTAACCTTAATGAAAAACTCTGAAGAATCAGTCATTCAGCCATTATTAAATGAATAATAACAAATTTTCATATAAACATGATAAGATACAGTTAAGATACACTTAAGTTAAAAAAAAAGTTAATTTAAAAAAAGTTAATATATATATATATATATCAGGCGCGGATCCAGCATTTTTTGATGTTTGAGATAACTAACTTCCAGACATGGTACAAACCCCAAAAATCTATATGTTTATACTTATGTCAAATAAAGATCATTTGCAAAAAATTGCGATGATTGGAGTCTGGGAACAAAAAAGCCCCAAAATTTTGGCCACACAAACCCCAAACAAGAGAGCAACAAGTTGATAAAATATTTTTTGTACAATTCTCAAGTAAATTTATATTCATCGATAAATTCTAAATTTCATACAATAATCTCTTAGTGTTCAAAAATTATAATTGCACAAAGCTTTAACCCCCCTCAATTTGAGGGGGTTACAAATTTTGTAAGGTCATGTTTTTTGAACACTAAGAGATTATTGTATGAAATTTAGAATTTATCGATTAATATAAATCTACTTAAGAATTGTACAAAAAATATTTTATCAACTTGTTGCTCTCTTGTTTGGGGTTTGTGTGGCCAAAATTTTGGGGCTTTTTTGTTCCCAGACTCCAATCGTCGCAATTTTTTGCAAATCATCTTTATTTGACATAAGTATAAACATATAGATTTTTGGAGTTTGTTCCATGTCTGGAAGTTAGTTATCTCAAACATCAAAAAATGCTGGATCCGCGCCTGTATATATATATATATATATATATATATATATATATATATATATATATTTATTTATATTGTTGTTTTTGATTATTTGATAATAATCAACTCTTTTTCGATTTGAGAGTGATCAATATAAAGTGAAATAATCACAAAATAGATCAATAAATAAATAAAAGGTTAGATGAGAAAAAACAACTTTTTTACGGTACTTAAAGTTTCATGCCGTTTTCGGCACTCATCAGCCATTTATTTAAATCAAGAAAAAACCGTTCAAAAATACAATTAAAAAACCGTTACAAAATTCAAAAAAAAACAATGGAATGAGTTCCGACGTCAAATAATTATAATACAAATAATAGCATTAATAATAATAATGATAATAATAACAACAATAATAATAATAATAGCAATAATAATAGCAATAATAACAACAAAAATAATAACAACAACAATAATAACAATTACAATAATATTCATTATGATATAAATTATGTTATAATAAATTATATTATAATTAAATAATTTATAATAAATAATAAATATATTTATAATAAATAAGTTATAATAAATTATATTATAATTAAATAATATTCATATGATATAAATCTACTAAATAAAAGGAGTGAGATTGTTTCTAAGTGCAGACATAGAAACAGATTCCTCCTTTCTCAATTTGACACTGGCGATTAGAATAGATGTTTTTTCCATAATATTATTATTATTGCTATTATTGCTATTATTATTATTGTTGTTATTATTATCATTATTATTATTATTGCTATTATTTGTATTATAATTATTTGACGTCAGAACTCATTCCATTGTTTTTTGAATTTTGTAACGGTTTTTTAATTGTATTTTTGAACGGTTTTTTCTTGATTTAAATATATGGCTGATAAGTGCCGAAAACGGCATGAAACTTTAAGTACCGTAAAAAAGTTGTTTTTTCTCATCTAACCTTTTATTTATATATATATATATATATATATATATATATATATATATATATATATATATATATATATATATATATATATATATATATATATATATATATATTCATGACAACTAACAAATAAAATGGTTACCATTGGTTACACACCATTTGTTAATGAAAAATTAACTTGACAGTTTTTGTTTTTTTTTTCAAGCTCTTAAATTTGTTTTTCTATTAACTCATCCTCTTAATTAAAGGTGTTTTTTAACAGAAGAGTTGTTTATAAAACCACGCTCAACAGCCTGGCCATGACTTAGTGTTAAAATTAATCTAATAACAAAAGACCATTCCATGTACACCTTGAAGAACTCTTTGCTTCTAGAAAATGTTATCAAATTATTCTTTTTCAAATGATACAGCTCTTCAGAAACAGCAAATCCTGTATTAAGCTTTTCATCAGGTAACAAATTAATAATCAATTATAGTCAAAGAAAAATACAGATCTTTTAGTTTCTGAATTAGATTCCAGCTTCTAGATTTTTCAAGGACATCTGGTTTTGCAATAACTTCAAGCAACTTTATTATTATTTTCTTTGCATCGAAGTATAAAAATGGAATCATTGGTTTAGAAAAGGTCTCATAGCTTTTACATTTTAGCTGTTTGGATTTAGGTAAGGCATTCATAAAAAAAATCAAACTTTTTAAACTTTTCCACTCTTTGACCCTTAACCACCTCTTTCTTTTCAACTTATGTAAAATATAATAATAAAAACAAATATAATTTAGAAACACTTTGAATCATGTGCAGTCTTATTAGTTCTCTTTTTTTTCTTTTTAAGGATTTTTTTTTTATTTGCTTTTTAAGAATTCGACCCCCCCTCTCATTTTGTTCCTAGAATAGCTCCTAGTTATTTTTATATAAAATGCACACAGTTTTATATATTTGAATAATATATCATTGTACAATTAAATCCTTTTATTGTTGTCAAAAAACATATATACAAATTGTTTTTTTCCTCTCTTGATACTTTTGTATCAGTCAGTGAGTCAGATGTTTCACAATGATGTGTTTGTCTTACTATAATTGCCAGTCATCAAAATTTGTCCCAAGCATGTGAATTTATGTTTTAAATGGAACTAGTACGGTAGAAGTAGTTACCTTATTGAGCAGATGTTATAAGGATAGACAAAAAGAACTAGTAACAGAGTTAGAGTCTTCTATCATGTATTAATAAGAGAATGTAAAATAGTTTCATTCAAACTGGTATTGAATTCATCAAAAAATTTTAGATTGACAATTTAGATCAACCATACATTGATATTTGGTATAGCTTTGTTACTTCCAATTTTTTAACAATATCCCTGAAATCAGTCTTAAAAGTATGACGTAAGAAACTTGATCCTAAAATAACGGAAATTTACACAGCTTCTATCAACACCCTAGAATGTAATATAACTATCCAAAACTTTGGGTGAGCTTGTTTAAACTCCCATCATAAGAATGACATGGATATCTGACAGTTAAAGTTTCTAATATTTGAAACACCAAACCATGACTTAACTTGTGAAGTTTTGCTTCAACCTAATTAAATTAAAAAAACTGTAAAAACATAGCTTAAGTTGCTGTTTGAATGTAGAGAAAATATACTTTCCACATTCTTAGTGGATACTATCCACATTCTTAGTGGATACTATCCACATTCTTAGTGGATAGCCAGATGATTTCAGTAACATCAGGTTTTTTGAAACACAAGTCTAATGTCTTTTGTTTTTCTGTAACTGACACATTAGAGTCAGAAAAGACAAATAGTAAGAGACTTCTGTGTTGGTTTTGGCAAAGAACCCTTTCATTTTCTTAACTCTATATTGTGCTTTCCTCCTTTTGCATAGTCTGTCAAGGCAGAGTGCCCACTTGAAAAGAGTTCTATTGACCTGTGGCTACACAGATCAATAGAATCTTGCTATAGTATCATCTTTAAGATCTTTAGCCAATCTTTAAATCATTGCTCAACCATCTTTAAAATTATTGCTCAATCACCTTTAAACTAAGCTTCTTGACTCTTTTACTTTTAACTAATTCCATATATAAACTAATTAAAATAACAATGCTAATCTAAATTTGAAAAATAAAAGCTTAAAAGGAATAAATATTGTAAGATTTAAAAAACCTTAAAAAATCAATAATTAAGCAAAAATTAAGCTACTACACAGCAAAAAAAGGGGAAAAAAACTTCAAGTTTTTCAATCATTAATCCTGCTCAAAGCATACATTTTCCAGTTTTTCATGTTTTTTAAAAACAGCCTTTTTTAAAAGTTTTTCCAGCAGAGTGGACACTATAGACAATATCAGCAGAGTGGATACTATAGACAATATCATATTATAGACAAATAATATATTAACATATTATTATATAACATTTCATATATTTCTTGCTTGATA